AAACTGATGGAGTCTAAATGCAGATTGAAGCATACTATTTTCACTTTCTTTGTTTTTTCATTTTTTTCCTTTGTTATGTTTCGTCTTTCACAACATGATGAATGCAGAAATATGTTTTACATGATTGTACATGTATAGCATGTATCACATTGCTTGCCATAGGAGGTGGGGGGTGGGGAAGGAGGAAGAAAAATTTGGAACTCAAAATCTTATTTAAAAAATGAAGATTGAGAAAGTATTCTCTGTAACTTCTTTCAACTCAATTCAACAATCATTTATCAACTGTCTCCTATATGTGAGACATTGATTTCAATACCATTCAATTCAATGAGGATTTGTTGAGTGCTTAACTGAGAATTTCACATGCAAACAATCAATAAGGATTTGTTGAAAATCTATTATCATTATTAGCCTTGTCAATCCTTTGGGGGTTCTGCTGTCATGAGACCCTTGGCCTGCACTTGAACCTACCTAAAAGAGAACTCAAATGTGTCACATATCAAGCTCTAATCTCTCTCCTTAACTCCAGTCCCATATATCCAGATGGTCCTGATAGATTCCTCTACCTGAATGTCTCATTTTCATCTCAAATTCAACAGGCCCAAAATGAAATTCATGATCTTCTACAGCATGATTCAGTGGAAAGAGAGCTGGATTTAAAGCCAGGGAACCTGGGATCAAATTGTGATTCTATCAGTTATCAACCATGTGATCTTGGACAAAGTCATTTAACCTTTCTGGGCCTTACTTTCCTCATCTGGAAAATGACTGCTTTAGACTAAATTACTTTTAAGGTACCATCCACCTCTAAAGTTCTGATCCTACATTAATCATTAAATCATGGGAGAAACCTTGAATTCACCCTTCAGAGCCCAGTTTGGGGAGGGACATTTCCAAGATTTCCCATTTGGGTCAAGTTACTTTGATCCAAACCATCACACTAGATGTCCCAGAGACCTCCATTGGAAATCTGGTTCCAAGTTGGGCTACAATAGCTTTTTCCTGAAGAATTGATGCCTCTACTTGACTTTGAGTGGTTGTTTTTCCACTCTCTCACGTTTCTCCAGAGACTCCAGAAACTTAGTTTTGCATGTGTTCAAAAATGGATTTATAGCAAAAGCACAAAAAGTCCCTAGAACTGCCATTCCTCTACAAGGACTCTCAAAGGTGCCCAGGCAAAAATCTCTTGCTTATCCCCAATATGGTCCTTAAATTCCCAATTTCCTCCTCTCTTTTAATGTATCAGTCTGTTGCTTAGTTGAATTGATCAATTAATAAGAAATTCTTAAGCATCTAGTATGTACAAGGCCCTGTGGTAGGTGCCAAGAACACAAAGACAAAAATTAAACTATACCAACCAATCAATAAACAAATAAACAAACAAACAAATGAATAAATGAATAGGTAAGTGAATGGGCAGATGGGTAGATAGATAGTACATAAGTGAATGAGTGAATAAATAAATGTATGGATGGATAGATGGATGAAGAAACAAATAAATGGAGAAAGATGAATGAACGAATGAAGCTATGATCCCAGAGTTGTCTCACATAAAGAATTGCATCACAAGTGTTTTACCAGATGAAAGTGTCTAACTCTCCTAAGCCTAACTAAATTCATCAACAGAGCAGTCCTTAAAGAACTATGGTGAAACCATCTAAAATTCTGCAGATAAAAAGCTCTAGGCTCTTTGGTGTTTGACATAATGTAATGCACAATTATATTTTCCAAGTGCTAAGTGATTCTTTCACTTACTACCCATGTGTGTAATCCCTCTCTACCTCCCCATATTAAAGTTGAGATGGTTGGTGGGTCCTTAGGATTATAGTCAGAAGGAGGAGAAATATTAAAAAATTAAAAATTAAAATTAAAATATTTAAAGATTAAAAATATTTTTTTAAAAAAGGGAATTCCTTGTCAATTTGTTAGGGATTTATTTTCTAAGGAGGGATAAAATATCCATCTTGAACTTTCAATAAATATTTATTAACCACTTACTGAGGATATAATATGGGCAGCTAGGTAGCACAGTGGATAAAGTGCTGGACTTGGAATCAGGAAGACTCATCCTCCTGAGTTCAAACCTGGTCTCAGACACTAGCTGTATGACTCTGGGGAAACAACTCACCTAACCCTGTTGGTCTCCGTTTCTTCATCTATAAAATGAGCTGGAGAAGGAAATGGCAAAACATTCCGGTATCTTTGCCAAGAAAACCCCAAATGGGGTCACGAAGAGTCAGACATGACAGAAATGACTGAACAACAATAACTGAGGATACAAAGGCCTAGCTAGGTGACCAAGTTGATAGAGTGAGACTTGGAGTCAGGAAGACCTACTTCAATTCCTACTGCAGATCCTTGCTAACTATGTGACCCTAGGCAAATCACTCAACTTCTTTCAGCCTCAGTTTCTTCATCTGTAAAAGGGAGATAATAATAGCACCTACTTCATAGAGTTGTTGAGATAACATATGTAAAGCTCCTTGCAAACCTTAAAATGCTATATAAATGCCACCTACTATTATTATTATTAGCCGTGGTGGGAATTTTACCATCTACCCTGCCACAGCCCAACTTTCCCTACCAGGAACAGGAACCTTGTCTCCAAATCTACAAAGACTTCTCCCCACCCCTAGAGGAATCCACTCAGTCAAATTGGAGGTTGAATGAATCAGTCTTCATCTCAGTCTTCTATTTGTTGCTAGCTTTGGATCATGTTTTAGACTGTTAGGAAGCAATAAGCAAATCAGTTCTTAGAATTGCTACAGAAAAGGCGAGACCATCTACTGTCCTACGGCTACATTCACAATCTTTGTGACTGCTTAGGCCAAAGCTCCTTTCCCTTGCCACCACTCTTCATATGTTTTGCTCCCCCTTAAAAGAAGCTAAGAAGTTTGAGGACAAGGAAAGTCTCACCTATGTGCCATCCCTAGCACCATCACAGGACCTGGCACATAAACTCATAATAAATACTTGGTTGACTAATACTATGTGCAAACAGCATTCTCAGAGACAAGATTTCCTTACTTTCACAAGTCTAACTTCCCACAAAGGAAAATTGGGAATTGTAAATAAAAAGACAAAAGTGAAATAGTTCCTGCCCTCGAGGAGTTCATTGTCCACTGGACTATAAAACACATAGTATGTTGACACTGATTCCCAACTTGCAAGCACACAGGTTACGTGGTAGCCAGTTCACAGTACTGAAGAGAAAAGTTTTATTAAAAGGAGGTAAAGCAAATCAAAATAATAAAATGAGCAGCCATTCATTCTAATTCTTGAAGGCTCCTCTAACAAGCTTCCCTTTCCTTAGTTCTGTTTTGGTGCCTTGGCTCTTGAGGAGGAAAAAGGAATACAGTTTTTCTTTCTTTCTCCTTCTTTCTGCAGTTTGTTTTTCATGCTTCCAGCCACTGAGTTTCTAGCTTCTCAGGCTAGCAATTTTTTAAATTTACTTTATTCTAAATTTAAGAAATAAAATAAGCATTTCCATAGCATAGCAGGATAGGACAAAAAAATTTAAGTAATTGTTTTTTAAAAGATTTATCCAGTCTTGTATTACTATCACTTGCATATAAGATGAAGGAAAACAAACAAACAAACAAAAAGAAACCTTAGGGTAGGAGTGGGGAACCTTAAGCCTCCAGGCCACATGTGTCTTTCTAGGTCCTTGAGTCAGCACTCAAGACCTTTTGACTGAGTCCACATCTTACAGAACAAATCCTTTTATTAAGGGGATTTGTTCTGTGAAGTTTGGATTCAGTGGAAGGGCTGCACTTGAGGACTTAGAGGGCCACATGTGGCCTGGAGGCCTAAGGTTCTCCACCCCTGTCCCAGGGTCTTTTTTTCATCTCCAGGTGCCACCACTCACATCCCAAAGTTCCTTTCTCCTACATCACCGCTGACACCCCACTTCCACCTTTTTTTTCAGGTTCCTCCAGTTTCTAGGCCCATCCATCACCATGTTTACATCGTGAGATGTACACACTTTGTTTTCCTAAGTTATTCAAATGAGGAAGAGGCAAATACCTTAATCTTCCACCTGGCTATGCACTGTCCTGTGCTGGAGAAAATAAAAAGGGAAAACTGCCCCTTAGCAGATCACAATCTAGTTCTCTGTGTCTTTGCCATCACCAGATTCAGGCTGAGCTGTGGATCTTTCTTGTCTTTTAGAATTTCAAACCATTTAAAGCTTTCATCCATCTTCTAATCCAATTTCCCAAACAGCTCCACATCTAAGGAATATATGTACTAAGTGTGTAGTAAAAAAATACTAAATTCAGTTTATTGAGGTTCATAGGATTTAGAACTGTTTGGTCCTGTAGAGGTCATCTAGTGCAACCCCATGGTTCTACAAATAAAGAAACTAAGGCCTAGAGAGTGGACAACAACACAGAGCAAGATGGGATTTAAAAGCAAATCTTCTGCCTCCGACCCCATTGTTCTTTCCACTACAACATTAACACTTGATGGAAAGATACTCAGGTTTAGAAAAAGAACTGTTTTCAGGTGACACATTCTATCATCGTTTGTTTTTTTTTTAAATAGTAGCCTGCCCAGTCAACTGCATGCCACCTATAAGACAACAGTTGGAATAAATGGTTGGGGATGGAGGGAGGCAGGAGGAGGCAACCTTTGTACAGAGTTCTCTCTTCTAGTTCTCCTTGACTGACCATCGGAGAATTTTGCCCTTACATCCCATTTTCCCTCCAAACATTAAACTAGCATTCCTGCATTCTCTTTTCCCCACATGGACATACCTCAGAGATATTACTGGTTCAGTTCCAGACTACTACAATCAAGCAAATATCACAATAAAGTGAGTCACAAAAATTTTTTGGTTTCCCAGTGTGTATAAAAATTATGTTTAAACCACATGATAGTCTATTAAGTGTAAAATAGTATTACATTTAAAAAAAACATACCTTAATTAAAAAATACTAAAAATGCTAAAATCTAATACTAACTAGCTAAAAAATGCTAACCATCATCTGAGTACTTACTGAGTCATACTCTTTTTGCTGGTGTAGTGTCTTTCCTTAATGATGATGGCTGCTGACTGATCAGGGTGGTGATTGCTGAAGGTTGGGGTGGCTGTGGCAGTTTCTTAAAATAAGACAACAGTGAAGTTTGCAGAATCGACTCTTCCTTTCATGATGCATTTCCCTGTAGCATGTGATGCTGTTTAATTACATTTTACTTTTGGTGGAACTTCTTTCAAACCTGAAGTCAATCCTCTAAAACCCTGCCACTACTTTGTCAACTAAGCTTATGTCATATTCTTCAATATCATTGTGTCTCAAGGAATAGGAGTCCCAAGGAGAGGGAGACAGAAAGACAGGAAAATGGCCAGTCAGTGGAGCAGTCAGAACACACAAGACATTTATCTATTAAGTTAGCCATTTTATATGGGTATAATTTGTGGTGCCCCAAAACAATTACAATAGTAACATCAAAGATCACTAATCATAGATCACCTTAATTATAATAATAATGAAAAATTTGAAATATTGCAAGAATTACCAAATCCACTGGAGAAGGAAATGGCAAACCAATCCAGTAGCTTTGCCAAGAAAATCCCATGAAGGGTATGGTCTATGGGGTCACAAAGAGTCCAACATGACTGAACAAAAAATATCTATGTTATCTTAACACATCCCTACCACAATTCTAGGAGCTACAGATATTACTACCCCCCTTTTTTTTTTTTAGGAAACTGAAATTGAGAGAGAGAAAGCAATTTGCCCAGATTAAAAATGCTAATCAAGGTGGATTTTTTACCCAAAGTCTTCCTGGAGCCAAGCAAGCCTTCTACATCAACCTCCAGATGAAATATTGTTTGTTTTAACTATCAAGAAGATAAAATGAGCAGAATTAGTCACATTCAGGTAAATTGTCCTCCAAAAAGAGCAGAAACAATCTTCTCATGTGAGTACTTTGCAGAAAATATAATACAGCCTCCCAAACTAAGGAAGGAACCTGTTGGGGACCTGTTTGGTCAACTTTCTCTCACACAGAATTGTAGATTAAGAGCTTTCTGGGTTTAAAAATCATCATTTCATAAAAGGGGACACAAGGGCCAGTGAGATTAAATTATCTACCAAGTTTATATGGGTAGTAAGAAGCAGAGCCAAAATTCAATCCCTGGTCTTCTCACTACAAATCCATCATTCTGTCCACCATTTCATTTCCTGCGATATCTGAGTCCTGAATAAAAGCCAAAGGGTTCCCTTCACTTCCATTCAAACTCATATAAAGAAAAAGGCCTATTGTCTTACATTTTTGGTTACCAGCTAGTTTGAAATAAAAAATATGCCAATGGCTTTTTAATAAATTCATTTTATGTTTGACCAGCACTTGCAGCTGGTATGAACTAGAAATGCAGAACTCTATTGCTGACTGAAGAATGATTGCAATTCCATTTTTTTTTTTGCAGGTTTCAACAACTTTCTGTATCATAAGAAATAAGTGCATCTCTTGCTATCATATTCAAAAAGAAAATGAAAAGGTTGCTAAATGTATAAGTAATTGTAACTGATTCATTGATCTGAATACTGTTTAAAGTAAAACAGTAAGTATTTCTGTCACACTTTGAAGTTGAGCTCTGCAGCTCAGTTTCCTCCCTGCGGTTACTTTATAGCCATTAAGAATATATACCTTTTATCTGGTGCCTTCAATTAATTGAATTTCAAAAAATATTCTGAAATGTTTTTTTTTAAGAAAATCATTTAGTTCCTGGAGGACATTTTTGTGTGATTTATTGCTACAGTAATTAAAAGCACTGAACATTAGGCTGGTCACTGTTGGAACTCCTGCCTGCCTTTGGCTATATTGTGGTTAAGTTAAGATATATGTGGTTTTCAAGACATTTTCCAAGCAAGGAGAGAAATTTTTATTTTTTTCAGATTGCTTCTAAAATGTTAGCATAGCTTCCTAAATTGCTTCTTAAAGTGATCCCACCAATATTTACATGGTAATTAAATGCAAACACAACTAAACTGTTCTATATTAAACAATTAAAGAAGAAAAATCTTAGAATGATAAATGTTTTCTGACTTTCTCCACACTTTTTCTATGGCGTAATTGATGTCATAGAGTGATCTTTACTATTATACAACCCTCTCAAGAACCCCTGATTGGGAGTTTTGGTAAAATTAAAATTGCTAATTGGAATAATTAGCAGAGAGGAAGACTCAGCCTGAATTGAAAGCTAACACACTAATTAAAAAAAAAGTCTGAATTAATTACAGCACTTTGTTTCAGAGAAACAAGTTCTGCCCTTTAATTTATTTCTCTTTCTCTTCTTACTCTCACTGTCTCTATGTTTATCTCAGCCTCTCTCTTCACTTTCTGTCTTTCAATATTTCCTTTTTCCTCCCTTCCTCTTCCAGCCCTCTTCATCTTAGGAAAAATTCTTTTCTCTCTTTATCAATCTATCTTCAGAAAAGTAAGTGGGTTTGTGAAATAGACTGCTAGAAAATTGATGCAGAAAGATAATTTTACTTTCTAATATTTCTAATATTACTTGATATTTCCTGCCCAAGCAATATAATTTCAACCTTCTCCATGTTAAACACAAGTAGAAAAACCAATAGCATTCTATTTTCAAATATCCAAATATTTTTCTGTATTTTAATTGTTAAATGCCTATAACACACACAGCAAATTATTTATAGTTAGACAGTTTTTAAAATGTGTTCGCTACTTAATATGGATTTGGTTTTGTTTGTTTGTTTTTTATAATAAAGCAGAGTATTCAAAAAGATTCTAACTTCCTGGGTGATCAAAACACATTTTCTCCAGCCTTTTAAACACTATCTCTCTCTCTCTGTCTCTCTCTGTCTCTCTCTGTCTCTCTGTGTGTGTGTGTCTCTCTCTCTCTCTCTCTCTCTCTCTCTCTCTCTCTCTCTCTCTCTCTCTCGTGTGTGTGTGTGTGTGTGTGTGCGTGTGTGTGTGTGCGTGTGTGTGTGTGTGTGTGTGTGTGTGTGTGTGTGTGTGTTTTGCAGAGGCAGGTCTGGGTTCTTCTAGACCAATTTCCTATTTAAATATGTATATCTCATTATTTGAATTAATATCCTTTCATTTTTAATATGGAATGTTTTAAAAAGGTTGAATCAGAAGATTCATCAGAGGATAATAGTTGAGCCTTTTGAATACCTTACTCTAATCCTGATGGTAAAAAATAATGACCAAGAATGGCTCCTTCTTTGGATCCATATGTTGGTCCAACTTTCTCAGAGCTTGGTAGGAAAAGAAAAGTACATGCAACACTGAATTCTTGCAGTCAGCCTACTAGCATTGTTTTTCAAACACTCTGGTCATTCATCCTCCTTTTTCTGGCCCCAACCACCACTTCAAAATGATCTCATCACAGGCCTATGTCCTGGTCCCATCTTTCAGGGCTCCCTTTAACTACACAATTGTTCTGTTTGACTTTTTTTTTTGAAGTACATTTTCCTAGTAAGGTGAATACTTTAATGTTTGTCTGAATCAACATTCCTCATTGTGAAGGTAAAGTGATAAAAGAATGGGATGGCCATCCTTGTGGCATAGGAAATAGTTTTTTCCCTGTGGTTATGGAACTCAAAAAAAAATTGTTAGGTGTGGTCCCAAAGACCACACTTCAGTAGATGGAGGTCTTCATTCTGTACGGTGTCAGTATTTGGCTACAGGAGCTATTGGTATATTTTCTGTGAACCTTAGGCCAAGAAGCAAAATCAAGTTTAGTATCATAGAACAAGTACTGTGTATGTGACCTGAGTTCCAATTCTGCCTCTAATATTTACTACTCTGTGATGTTAACTTCTTTTGGGCCTTAATTTTCACATTTGTAAAATGATGGGGTTAGATTCGGTGGACACTGAAGTCCATTCCAGCTCTTGAGCTATGAACTGTGAAAATCTAGAAATATATGGATGACTTTGGCTTTGGGTGCTGAAACATCCACACCAAATTCACATCCTCCACTTCCTGGCTTAGCCTCTTGCAGACTCTGGTTTATCCTTGTAAAACAGTAACCTGTCCTTTTTCCACTTTGGTGGCATGATGGAAGGAAAGACAATAGGGGCTGATTCTGGTGTTTGCCCTTTGCAGATGAAGACACCTGTATCTCTGTTAGACATTATTGTCAGGAATACGGGGAGACTCATTCATCTACCTACCTCACAGTCAAACCACTAGCTGTCTCTGCTTGTTGCTGCAGCTTTCATTGAAGAGAGAAATCTAGTAGCAGGGGCCAAGCCCTACAGGGGCAGAAATATTTACTCAGATTCCTCTCTGGCTGCTTTGCCAACAGGAGAAATAAAAAAAAGAATTGAAAGATGATCCGTTAGGGAACAAGTACTGACCAGAAGGCTCTGGGTATGGGGGTGGCAGGAACTCTCTGCTTTGTCAATGGCATCCAGGCAGAGTGAAGTGGTAAGATTTGTCTAGAGAATACACACCCTGACCCAATGAAGACTATTTTTGTTGTAGCTGCTGATGTTACAGCTGCTGCTGCTGCTAGGGGACTGTCTTCTGAATAAAATCATCCTCTTTAAGACTGTGGTGGAATTTTTCCCCAGGAGACTCTTGGCAAGGGTCTTGGGGAATTTTCACCTTTCCTCCAGAGTACAAGCAGAGATGGGCCTTGGAAATAAGGTGGGAGTATTCTAAGTAACCTCATTTCCTGTGAGGGTAGGTAGGGCAGTGAGTGGGCAGGGATGAAATTCTGATCTTCGAATCTTCTTCTGGGATTCTGGATCAAGGTCAGGACTCTGACAGTTTGGCTGTAAATCCCAATGTACTATAGTAGGGAATTTGCATGAAAAGCAAGAAGAAAGTCTTGAGAAAGTAAATGAAAGAGGACAAGCAGCTGCCACTTGTTCTCAGTGAGGAGTGATTTTGCTTCACATTGCACATCAGATATTTTTTCTTCAGAAATAGTAGAGTGTGTGTGTGTGTGTGTGTGTATATATATATATATATATATATATATATATATATATCCCATATAAGGGAAAATGATGCTAAGCCCACTGCAGCCTGAACTTAATGGATAGACCTCCTATTTCCTTGCATGTCCATTGGAGCTCATTGTTTGTTTATGGTTCTCCTTATTAAATAAATAGTAACAAATATTAACCAGGAAAACTGGTTAAATAAGCCAGATTGGGTTTAAACATCTTGCATATCTATTTTATTTTGCTCCCATTTCGTAAAGGGAAAGTAATAGAATAAGGACCAAAAGTTCTCACCACTACCTACTTCTAGCCTAGTATACTTGAAATTATCTTTTCTCTTCTCCCTCCTTCTCTCAAGCTTAAACTAAGTCTACTTCCTCCCTAGGGAAGAAATACTCTTTTCTCCCTAAATGGAACCCAGTCCTAGCTTTTGTCATCTAAAGCAAACAGGTAACCTTAATTGAAAAAGGTCTAGATCCAGTCTGGAGCTTGGTGCTGGGGTAATAAATGAAATACAGAGACTTCCTTAAGAACATGTCTCCTGGGAGACACCCCCTCATCTGGCAAGTCAATGGTAAATAGCCAATGTTTTCATTCTTTGAAAAATCACCCAAATTCATTTTTCTAGGACCCAGGCTCAGCTCCTTCACAGAAAGGGCAACCTAAGGAAATGAGGCTTGGGGAAATTGTTTGTTGAGCTAATTTGCTTTGCCTCTTACTTTGAGGGGAGGTGGTTCTTTTATAGTTACCCTGCTCTGTGAAAGGGAAGTGGGAGACAAATACTTTTCCAGTGTGTTACTTGTTATTGGAAGAACAACTAGATGTTTTATTGTCTTCCTAGCATCTGGAGAAGGAAAAAAAGATCATTTGAGAAGAAAGACGTGGGAGGATTCTAGCAACGTTATTTTTACTATATTATCCACCACCAAATTTGAAATGGCATTGCACAGTAATGTATTGTGAAGGAAAAACAAGTAAATAACTATACCAAGTGAAAATAGACAAAGGGGGTGGGGGTAGAAAGAAAAAAATAATTTTCAATATAGTTTGTCTCAGAAAATCATCATGAGTCTCCTTTTCAAATGAATTTTATATTTTGATCTATATGTATGAAATATACCTCATGCACCATACCCTATATGATTTATCACATATGTATACATAAACATATATATATGATATATATGATATATCATAGTATCTCTAAATGCTGAACTATAAGGTTGGAACAAATAAGCCTGAAACTCTCATTTCAGGTAATCTAGACCTGTGACTTATACCTGCTCCATCTATAGCCACCTGCTTTGTTCTTCCATTCCCTGTCTACCCTCAGTCTACACTAATGCTAGTTGGAACCATCCACCCGAATCAGTAGGAGGAAAGTAGAGAGGGGAAATAAAAACCAATTTAAAAAATTATCAGTAAAATAGAGATCCAGAGACACTCAGAAGCTTCCTTGACGACAGTCTTGAAGGAATTGAACCTGGGCTTAGTGGCTCTTGAATTGATTCCCATCCAGCTAGGCTTCATCCTTCCATTTTCCTCCCCCAATCTGCTCAAAAGTCAAAGTTGCTTTATTTTGACATATTGAAAATCATAGACCCCTTTGCTTGAACATTGGGCTCCTGAACCTGAGTGCTCTTGTAGGGCCCTATTCTGGCCAAACATTTCCTTCCTTTAGGAGGGACAGAAAAATGCCTCCTCAAAAGCTCTATTTCCTTGCCAGCTCCGAGGCCTGGGGCCATGTCCCCAAACTTAGATGGATTCTCTTCCTGACTGACCGGAAGCCCACTGAAGAAGAGACCTGACGAGGCAGGTATGATGGAGCAGATGTGGAGAAGGAAGCAGAGAAAATGGCCTAAGTCACATCTAACTTCCCAGGGAGGGGGAGAACGGAAGGAGGGTATGGTGTCCCAGATGGACGTGGGATTCAAGCGTATTCTATTGTGATGGGAAGGGAAAAGGTTCTCGGTTGCTGGCCCTTGGGTAATTTCCCCTAGGAGTCCCATCCTTATGGGACACGTAGAGATACATAAACTAAATCCACATCATTCCTCACAGCACCGTTCCTCACTCCACCCCCCACCATCTCCGGCTCCTTTCTACCCTAGGGCTCGCTTGTGTGAGGGAGGTAGAGACTTGGAGAGAGAGGTAGCAAATTGAGCTCTTGCCATCTTCACTTGCCCTGATAAATTACAGTTTGCATGTGGGTGCAGTTAATCAAAGCCTTGATAGATGGCTGTCTTACAGCGTGTACAACCTGGAGATGATTTGGTTAAACGGATGACATTCGTGTCCTTTCAGAATCAATGCAATTATTGTTTGCCACCCCGACAACATCTGGAGTGGCAGCACTGATTTGACTGACCTGTTATTGATGGCGGTGTCCACTCTTCCTCCCTAACCTTCTTGAACCTCCGCAACCTCCTCCCCCAAGCAAACACACACATCCCCCTCCACCCCCGGCGCGCGCGCGCCCCGCCACTCAGCCCAGCACTTATAACCCCCAAGAATGCATACGCGAGGTCGAGTTTTCAAAGGAAAAGTTGGGAACTCCTGCTCGCGTTGGAAAGTGTTAATCAGCAGGAAAGAGTGTGATCAGTGGAGCTATTCACTTGAACGTCACTCTGGTACAGGGGTTAGTGAAGTGATTGTGGCGCCTAGGGACTGAAGGAAGGCATATTCCACTCCAGTCAGGTGTTATACACTGAGAAATGTCTACATTAGTTCTCTATAGCTCTCCGCAAGTGAACCGGTACAGGAAAGAGACCAGGACCCCAGCAATGGAAAAGCCCTCACAGGAAGATCGGAGTTGCTGCTTGGCTTGATCTCAGGTACAGAAATATCTCTCAACCCTCTCAACTTCCCAATCCCCTCCCCATTCCTCACACCTCCTCCAGCCCCCCGGTCCTCATACCCCCATCTCCCTCCCGACCTACACTTCTTTTTTGATGAGGCGGTTTTTTTCTCCCACGAAAAGCGAGGAGCTGCAAAGTAGGGGCGGGAGAGAAGAGCGTAGGTACATCCGTGGGTTTTATGCGATGATTACCTAGGACTGAGTGCAGATTGAGCTTAAGCGGTGTGTGAGTGCGTGTGTGTGTGTGTGTGTGTGTGTGTGTGTGTGTGTGTGTGTATGCGCGCGTGCGTGTGTTTTCTTAGGGAAAGGGAGATGGATCCGACGTTTCCGCGAAAGTGAAGGTAGGGTACAGAGCTCCTCCAAGGTCCGGGCTCTAACAGCGCAAACTTTGCAGAAAATCAGATTTACTCTGACTGAAACAAAGTTTGGTTTCCACAAGAGGTGGGGTGGAGAATGTGTGTCGGGGGACGAAGGGGGTGGGGGGAGGTGGATTTCAAGCCAAGTACTACCCAGAGTCCAGGAAGAAGAAAGCGAGTGAGGCTGGGGGCAGGGAGGGGGGGTTGGGGGAAGGAGAGAAGAAGCTAATAGTGGGAAGCTTAAGGACGAGTCACTGAGAATCACAAGTCCAAGGGCCCATGGCTCCCCTGAGAACCATGAGTCCACGAATGCAGCGCCTTTGCCCCGGGACCCAGCTCGGGGAAGTGGGAGGGAGGGGGGAGGGGAGAGAGGGGGTGTAAGTTCTTGGAGCCACGGCCCTTAGCTTCCTGGGCCACCTGGGCGGATGCTGAGGATCTCCACTAAGTACTGCTGGAAACTTAGGAGTCGGGGAGGGCTGAGTAGATGGGGGGTATTGAATGAGAGGAGAGAGAGGGAAAGGTTGAGGAAGGACAGGAGAGCCGAATTGTCAAGTGATGCAAGTGAATAAATTGCAAAATACTGTATCTGAATCTGAGGCCTGCCTTTGTGCGCTCAGACTGTTACCTCCCTCCCTCTCCAGCACCCCCCTCTCACCTGACCACGAGAAGCCAGGCAAAAACTACCTTGAAAAGAAAGGATTTTTCTCACACCTTCCACTCTCCCCCAGCCCTTCCCACCCAACTTCGCAGCTGCCAGAGTCTTTTGGATCCCTCACACATCCTTACCTTGCCCTCTTGAACAAAGCGCTAAGATACCCCAAACGGACTCTGTTTTTGACCTGTACTAGACAGGGTGGCCTCCCTGGGAGTTCACGATCCCACTACCCTCCCCCAACCACCACTACCTTCTGGGCCACTTAGATAGAAATGGATTGTCTTAGTACTGGCTCTGAAACAAACACTTTCTTCGTGGCTATAGGCACCGGAGTGGAGGCGGGGAACAGTCTTAACCAGCCCTTGGCAAAAGTCGTGCTTTGCCTTCGGTTTCCTGCCACTCCCCTACTGGACAACACGATAGTTTTCGTCATTGCTGAGTGATCAGAAACCAGATAGCCTAGGACAGTGAGTTTTAAATTCTAAAGTCCCTCTATGTATTCCAGAGACCCCAAGTGTTTCAAAGGAACTTCCACCCTAGCAACTCCCGAACCCGAGAAGAGGAAAACGCAGTCAAGTACACTTGAGAGTGCGTATTATCTGGGGCTACACAACCCCCGGGCTTGCCTTACCTAGGACCTCCACCAGTCTCGCTGACTCTCTGGCAGGGGCCTGCTCCAGCGATGGGCTGATTTCTCCTTCTTAACACACACACACACACACACACACACACACACACACCCTCCCCTTACAATTAAGTTTCAGGAACTTTGAAGAAGGTGAATCTGCTGTGGAATTGTTCAGTCTGTGGCTTTGACCTTTCTTCTCTCTCTATAGCTTTTCTAACAAGTGCACGCATGCTGAAACCGTGGGGCTTTCGCCTGGACCCCTAGATATAGTCAATCCATTCAACAGAGAGCACTGAATGTTGATATATGTACAAGCATATTAATGGCTATGGCTTAGTGTATATACATATATACATGTAGGTACTGTGTATACATGTGTGTAGAGATTGCAGGATGTTTAGATAAATGAGATTGTAGCCATTCATTCCTAATGTGCAATATTTCGGTGACTCCTTTTGGGTTGGCAGCAAGGACAAGCAAGAAGACAATTCGAGTTCCTTGGCTAGGGTTGCGCCTTTTGTAGGAAAAGGGCTTTGGGACAATGATGTGCATGGAGCATACACAGAATGTTTTCTAATACTAGAATTCCTCCTGTGTGCTTTGGGTTAGCCACTGTCCCACAGTACTAGAGGGCAACTTAGATTCACGTCTATTTCAAAGCCAGCAAATGAAGTTTCTTCATCAGGCATTGGCGAAACATCTGGAGCATTTGAGCTCAGGCACCATCACTACTAAGATGCCAGGCAGTCCGTAGTCACGGTGGACTCAGCAAAGATCATGGTCAAACTTGCAGAGGAAAGTAGGGGCCCAGAGAGCTACGATCTGTAAGGGAAGGAGAGTAGAGATGAAAAAGAATAACTTCCAGTCTCTTGTTTGGTAACAGAGTTGGGAATGACATTTCAGAAGAGCATTGACTGATCATGACACCAGGGAGACTCAGAACCCTAGGGAGGGCGGAGAGTTGTCGGTAGTAGAACGGGCTGGGTGGAAAGAAACATGACAGAATTGTGCAGTGATTAATAAAGGGACCTTCTGTGCACCCACAATAACACCTCCTCTCCCCCTCAAGGAGGGGGGTTGCAAATGCATTAAGGCTGCTGGAAAGATTACTGTAGCTATATAAATAGATAAGGAATGTACATGTGGAATCTAGTCTGGTATTTTAAAGATTAATAGATTTATCAGATTCTCAATTTTTGTGCAGTTCAAACATATTTTTGCTCAATTGCTTGCTGTAGGAGCAGAAGAAAAGGGGATATCAGACACTGGAGGGGTTGTCACAACTGCTTAAAGGTGTTCACTGGCTCAATTTGCTAATTATAGTGCTCAACTAGGAGCCAGTCTGGAAATATGGACAGCAGGTTTCTTTCGTGGACTGGGTGACTGGTCCCTGAGGCTTTAAATAAGCAATTTCCTCCACCCCAACCACTACAACCCCCAAACAATGTCACAGTAATTGGAATCGAAGACAAATCTTCTAATGAGACTTTTTTCTCTTGATACCCTGCTATAAATCATCTAATCCACCACTCATCTCCTACCTCCAGACTCTTTACAAGGCTGTAAACAAGTTATGTTTAATAAACAAACAAATAAATAAATAAATACATACATACATACATACATACATACATAAAAGTACCTTGTTCTACTGAAGTGAGGAGGGAAGTGGGTGGGTGATAAAAAGACGAGAGAGAGAGAGAGAGAGAGAGAGAGAGAGAGAGAGAGAGAGAGAGAGAGAGAGAGAGAGAGTGAGAGAGATTCATTTCTATAAGAAGGCCCGTTGGCTAGTTTCTTGCTATTTACACGAAGGTGATATTAGCAATGCAGGTGAGAATGAAATAAACAACTCGCCAAGAAATCAATACAGAATTCAAAAACAATTATTAATGTCATTTGACTCGTGTTCTTTTTACATTTCTCCCGGCTACAGACGCTAAACTGTCTGAATAATTTGCATGGATCTGCTATTCATTATTTCCGATGGCTTTCCTTTGAAAGAAGCTAGGACATTGCTTACTATAGTCTAACTCGATCGGAGAACTAGTATTTTCATCTGTAAATTAAAGCAATTACGCAGCAGATATTATATTATGTGTACTGTGGTCTCCAGATAGTCATCAATCACCTTCAATCGAGCTGTCAGAGTGGGCAGATTCGTTTCTGGGAGGCAGTCTTCCAGCTGGGGAGAAGAAGAGAACATCATCATTAATTAGAGTGTGACCCTGGGGCTATTCACATGTCTGAACCCAGGAATCTCTCTGAGCAAGTCTGCACACTACCAAGCAGCAGTTCCCCTGCGCTGGGCTGCTAGGGCTCCCACAGCTCACTCCCTCAGCTGCCCTCGGCTCTCTGGGAGAGGCCTAGAACCACAAGGGCTGCTTGTGGTCCTCCCTGACCCGCATTGGGCAGCATCTAGAGATGGGGGGTTCCCCAAGTCTACTGGTGGAATTTTGACTGTAGTTCCATTTTCGACCTTTCTTTACTAAAGGGAAAAAGGGAAAGAAAGGAAAGGAGCCCCGAGGAAGCCAAGAGAGCTGACTTTGTCAGTGGAGGGCAAGACGAATCAAAGCGCTCTCATTATAAGTGACTTGAGATCCTTTTACAGCCTGTCCAATGACTCTGATAAACCAAGGGTCTCAAAGTAGGATTTGACTTGAGAGAGATTCTCTAGCATGGGATGGGATAGAGTAAGTCTTGGGGTTGATACTGTCTGACTATCTACCCCTACGCTTCTTCACCACCACCCAGGACTCCTCCCCACCCCCGGTAGAGGAGAGCATTTTGGCAGCTTCTGCGCCGGGGGCGGAGGGGAATCAGCCCTGGCTTGGAAACCGCAATCTTAGCGGGGAGGCTGTGAAAATAATGGATGTGGGCTTTTCGTCTCCTTGCTCCCAGAACAACTTTAAAGGGCCTTCGTGCCTCCATGTAAGTGAGCTTTTTTCTTCCTCCAATCTGCTACGCCAGGAAAGGGGGGGGGGTCTTCAAGGATCTTTATGGCAGGGTTGGGGAGGACTCCAGATGTGTGCGACCATCTTTTGCTGAGGGAGGACTCAATTGACTAAGCCTCATCGCGCCCCCCACATGAAGCTATGAATGTTTTGATGCCTCAGAGAAGGGGGGGAGGGAGAGTACGTGTAAGAAGAAGAGGGAAAGACAGTGACAGACGGAAGGTGGAAGCCCAGGGGACCTGCTTGAAGTTGCTGCGGGCTTGGAGGCCGCGGGACTTGGTGGGGGCGGCTTAGGACCTTGTGCTTGGAAGGGAACTTAAAAGAAGCGGCTAGAGTTTGAGAAACTTGTCTCAAAGGGTCTCAGATGTCCTGGAGTGGCAGAAGACTTTGTTTCATTTTCCTCAAAGCAATTTGGATATACAAGACCTATGGTTAGATTGCATCTAACCATGAGAGCTGGGCTGGACTTTAAAAATCATTTAGTCTAATACTTTCACATTAGAGATAAGGAAACAGACCTAGAGGTGAAGTAAACTCGCCCATGGTGGTTGGGGGGAGGGCATAAAACATTCACCAGACTTAAAGAGATTTAGAAAGAAGAATGTGCAAAACTCTTTGGGGAGACATTTGTTCTGAATACCCAAATTAGGATTGTTGGTTCCCATAGGCTGTGATAAGAGTCTTTTAAATACATACATAAATATACTTTCCCTTTTGAAAACAAGAACTATAGTTGAGGTTTTCCTCCAGTTCCATTGCCCTGTAAATGTTGCTGTCTGCAGTTGTTTCTTAAATCCTAAGCCTAAGAGTTTTACATTCAGTAACCCATCTGGAGTAAAGGATACAAAGAAAATAGAAGTCGTTGTCCTGTGGTTTATTGCCAATGTTAGTGCTAATTTTAACTGTTGATTAAATCTTAAATGAAGACTCACTCGTGTGTCCCTTCATATGTCTCATTTGTAATTGAGACTAATTATTACAGTGGGGTAGGAAGAAGCAGCTGCTCATTAATTAATTTCTAATTAAAAGTGCCTACCATTCTTCAGTGACTAAGGAGAAAAAATCATTAGTCGGTGCACTATTGATTCTTCAGATGAAAACCATAAAAAGTGTTATTTGTTTTCCGAGTGTATTCATCACTTGCATTCACGTTCTCTATGCAGCCATACATGGAGGTTTGTGTATTCTTCACACACATACACACACACGCTCGCACACAATCAGATGTGCCTCAAATGAATATTAAACCTGCAGTTAGGTCAGTTCGAGTAGGTTTTATCTGACGTCAGTCTTCGATGTTTAAAACAATGTACATCCGACTTGACATGTTTGCCCACGAGTTCTTTTTTTCTTTTTTCTTTTGAAAAATATGTATTTGTATTGCCACGGGTTGGCCGATTTCGGTGCCTCATGCAGCTATTTTCCGGGGCTAAACGAATAGCTACAATCATTACAGATCACTTTTTCCTCGCTTAAAAAAAAAAACTTTAAGATGTAAGTAGATAAATTAAATATGGTGTTCTGCTTCGTCCTATAAGCATCTAGGAACCTCTGGTCACCAATCAGTTGGTACGGTAGAGCAGAGCCCAGCTGCGGTAGCGTGTTAGAGCAGACGCTTCTCCTCGCTCCTTGATAACCGGGAACCTCTGTACCATGTCATACCCTCAGTTTGGATACCCTTACTCTTCTGCACCACAGGTAAGACCTGATGGTCCACGGAGGATAACTGATTGAATTCCAATGATTATTGGCCACTTCCGAACGGGCTGCGGGCTGCCGGGTTGCCTGGGTAAAGTGAAGAGCTATCAGAAGAGCGTGAAATTGGTTAAACCGCGGTACTGGCGGTGTTCGCCGAGAGAGAGTTAGGTTCCTCTGCCTTTCTTGGTGATTTGGAGAAGGAAAGGAGCTCGCAGTAGAACCTGGAGGAGATGAACTGGGTTAGGAGAGAGAACAAGGTATGGAGAGAGAACTATTTCCCCTCCCAGGTTTCACTTGCTCCTTCAGATCTTGTGTTTTTGAAGAGGAAACAGCAGAATGCCTTAAATGAGTAATTGCAGTCACATTGGGGAATACCCCAAAGACAGCAGGTTAATAACAGATGTGAGTGTTTGTCTCCGTGTGGCCATTTGAAATCTGTAGCTAATGTAAACACGGTAGTTTAGGGGAAAGGGTTCTAAGGGTAGGGGCAACCTTTACGTGGCAAGAGGAATCAAATAATTTTAATACGGGGACAGTGCAAAAGTTCTTTTAAAGAAGGGAGTTTAAAGAGAATGTTTCCCCTATATACTACGGACAATTAGAAGACCCTCTTTCCCAAAATACATTCCCATTAGATAATGAGGGGCGGGATGTACCAGTCCGGGTTACTGTGTTCACAAATGAACAGGCATTGAGTTGGTACATTTCAAGAGACCTTGGGTCTTCCTTAGCTACAAGAAAGCAGCGAACAGAACCCCCTCCCTACCTCCCCCGACCCCCCAGGCGTTTGTCTGTGGATGCTGGAAATGTGTTCTTTCTCACTAATTTCATCCCAAGCGCCCCTTCTGAACTCAAGACCTCTTTCTTCCTTCTAGTTCCTGATGACCACTAATTCCCTGACTACTTGCTGTGAGTCCAGCGGCCGGACATTAGCAGACTCCGGGGCAGCCGGCTCAGCTCAGACCCCAGTCTATTGTCCTGTGTACGAGAGCAGGCTGCTGGCCACAGCTAGGCATGAGCTCAATTCCGCAGCTGCCTTGGGAGTCTATGGGAACCCTTACACCGGCACCCAGGGCTACGGAAACTACGTTACCTACGGCACTGAAGCCTCTGCCTTCTATTCTTTGGTAAGCTAAGCTCTGGATACAGGGTGAAGTGGTGGGGGATATCCTTCAAACAAACTTGGCCCTCATGGTTCCTGGGATTGAGCTAACACGTCAGGGGCAGAGTAAAGAGAGAGAAGTAGGTGGGGGAGGGGAGAGAGGGAAAGGGGAAGTGGGAGTGAAGAAGGGAGGGGGGGACAGACAGAGGAAGGGAGAGAGGGAGGGAGAGAGAGAGAGGAGAATTAAAGAATCCTTTCCCCCATTTTGAACCGTCCTCTTGCAATTAGGTGTTTAGAGATAGGTAGGGTTGATAACTGAAAGTTCACGTTCAGCATTAGCAAGACAGTTCTTTAGTTCTTTCTGCTCATGGAGACTGGGGTCTTCTCCGGAAAAGTAGTGGAGTCAATTACTCAATAAATTGCTGCCTCCTTGGTGCTAGGGAGTAATGGGGCTAATGACGGATGCCAGTGATGCAGGAGCTACTGGGGCTTAGAGTCTAAAGTTGCATGTGTCCAGGTCCCCAAGAATCGATACACCTTCGAATGAGCTTTTCCTTTGGCATCATTATAGTGAGGGTTAATGTGTCTATTGATTTCCCTCCCGCTGAAATTCCATAGCACTTGGGATTTAAGTCTTGGGAATCAGTCTCCCTTCCCCCACTCGCACCTCCCACCCCAGGCCCCGAGCTCAACTCTAAATCCTCCCTGACTCGAACTTCCTTATCCTCCTCCTCCTTTCTTCCCTGCTTTTTTCTGCCTCCTGTTCACCTTTCTCTTCCTCCTCCTCCTTTTCCCTTTTTCTCCTCCCTCGCTTTTGTTTCTTACCCCAAAGTTAATAAACATGTTTCTAGGTCAGAATTGACAGAACCTTTTTTTCTCCTAATGCAATTGAATGGGTCGATCTCAAGCAAAGTTTCTTTGGGTCACTCGAGTTGTGTGTTCAGGCTCTGTACTTAGCCTGGGGCTCCACGTGCAGGAGGTTATAATATTTACGAACTGAACATGTTGATTTCGTGTTCCATCCTCAGTGTCTCTCATCACCAGAGGAGGTGTATAATGGGAGGGGGGACAGGAAAGGGAGAGAAATGCAAAACAGTTTTATTTGCATTTTCTACTTCCAATCTGTAGCAACCGGAGTTGATATGCACTTAATGGCTAATAAATAAGGCTTCACAAGGAACTTTATTTTCACTAGAGATACTGCTAGGGACATATTCTGTATTCCATCAGAAATGCAACCAGATTAGTGTCGTTTAATTCCCCTAGAGGAATAAAAAGATTAATAAACCGAAAGCTTGATTTAATATTACAGAATAGTTTCGACTCGAAAGATGGGACGGGATCTGCGCATGCGGGCATCACGCAGGCAGCAGCCGCTTACTATCCTTACGACCACACACTCAGCCAGTATCAATATGACAGGTAAGAAGC